CTATCTATCTATCTATCTATCTATCTATCTATCTATCTATCTATCTAAATATCTATCTATCGAAAAAAATATCTTGTTTGGTTACAATGTAGTAGCGTGACTAATGAAAAGGAGCATTTCGAGCGTGATACGTTGTTGCACATGACTGATTACAGGACAACCGAACATTGCTTGAAACTGCCTTTTAATATTGGCTTTTTCCCCCACAGTGTAGGAAATTCTGATGTATCGACTAGTCATTTTAAGAATCCCAAAATGGAAGGAATTATTGTGCTTGGGGGTGCAATAATTATACCTGTAAATAATTTCACAGAATTATGTTGGTCCTAAAAGTTGCTTCAAGCAGAGAGTTAATTAATTGTTGATGATGTTAAACACACTGGCTACTTGTCGGCTAATTCGTGCTAAAGAACCCAAGAGTGGTTAATGCATACTAGACCCAGTTCAGCACACAGATCCAATACTAATGCTCTAGGGAGACTAAGTTGGCATATTAACCAGTTATCACCATGGGCCAGAAAAACTTTGCAATCCATTGAAAAGGTACACCTTCTTAATTATCCCATTTGCAAGGTCAGTGCCAATGCGTCAATCCAGAAAAATTACCGACGAGTGTCACCACTGTATTGAAATGTCTACATTGAAATGTCTATTTTGAATGCTGCTGTTGATCAAATCAAACTATGATTAAAGTTTGACATGAATGTCCTAATTAAAAGTGAAGGTTTTCTCCTTTAATTCAAAAAAGCTATTTGAAAGGGAGATCCATTATTTCTATTTTGATTTCTTATATGTGGGTGCCAAACAGTTTTCCCTTCCATGCATTAAGGTCTTAAAGGCTTGTCAATGTCTAAACTTGCCAAATAGCCAATTCATCTACTGGCATCCACTGATCTATGGCAAGCAAGTCCAGTATTTGTCCATGCCCTGACTTGTCAAAGTTCTTTTGGTAGATTAATGATGGCACATCCAATATTAGGCAGCTGGTCTAGCCAGTGCAGGATTTCAAAAAATATTTTCGAAAATCTCTAAATTACAGGGTCTAAGGTCTGATAATACAAACAATTAATGGACAGATGGAGTAATATTGAACAGTAAACTATCCAGGTTTTTTAACCAATTCCAGTGATGCTTTCATTGTGGAGAAGAAAAAGTTCATTTGAAAGAAACAAATAACATACAGTAACTCCAGTCAAATTCACTAGGTTATCTACACTTAACTTAAAATGCAGCTGTTAATTCACACTGAGAATACATCAAGGACAGACAAGGGAAATTAACTTTATACAGTGAGACTGAATTGACTTGTGTTCTGACCTTGGGTGCCGACAACAATGACAGGGATGTCTGAACGATATGCGCTGAGCTGGCTGTAGAGCTGGTAAAGCTCCTGGAAACTGGTTTCATTTTCCAGACTAAACACTAGGATAACGGCTTCAACCCAGCTGCTGAACTGAAAAAACAAGAGAGAGATGTTAGGACTTTTTTCACACTGTGTGATAAATATGCTTATTTCATTTTTATACACAAAGACAAACAATGAGAAGCACCTGTGCATTAGGTGGTCCAGCTTCCTCTCGAATCAGTAATAAATGACTTTGACCGTCCACCATTATTTCCTTTTTATACCTTCCACCTGCCAAGTACAATGAATGCACCACACAGGTTATCTAACATCTAACAAACTGAATATGAATAAACTAATCACATATATAACTTTGAAGAACAAAAAAAAAGTTAAATACACAGCTCTGCATCATTAAACCACATTTCGAACATAATTTGTTTTTACCATCTGGTTTCTCAACTGCAGCATAAATGCCAGTGATGTATTTGTTCACCAGTGCTGATTTGCCACTCTTTAAACTTCCGAGGATGCCCTGAGAGAGGAGGGATTGATTATACACCAAGAACTTGATGATGGTTCACTATTTGCACACAATGCATAAAAAATAAGTAATATTATAAATCAAGGTATTCAAAACAGAGTTTTTGTGTCCCTCTCACAAATGTGTTGGTTCCCAATGATCCATTTAAACCTGTCTATTGTGGAATCTTAGCTGCACAGTGGTGTGGTTGCTTGCACCATCAGCACAGAGTTGAAGTTTGAATTTTTATGTTTTACCCATGATTGTGGGGCTTCTCTCTGGGTAATCTGGCTTCCTCCTACTTCCTATATACATGTATTAATCCCCCAATCAATCTTATTAGATTGATTGGGGATTTCTATGAGGACTGAGCTGAGAAGGTTTATCTCTTTTCCAAAAGGCTTCTGAACTACTGAAAAAGATCTCAGAACTGAAGAAGCCTGATAAATCCTTCTCTCACTTAAATTTACCTTTGACTTGAATTTGTTGTCAGTGTGGACATTTTCTTTTTCTTTTTCTTTAGATCATATACACTTTACGTGAGATTAAAATATTTTGAATAAAAAATGCGAAGCAATTTAGGGGCAAAAGAGAAGAGGTGACTTGCACTCACCAATCTCAGCTCGGGGATTGATCTGCTCAGCGTCCACTCTTGGCTGTTAGCAATATTCACTACAAAAAGAAAGACAGACAGACAAAGAAAAATGTCAATTCTGTGATAGCTTGATAATGGTATAAAAACATAAATGTTATTTATTACTTGCACGAGTGAATATTACATTAACAATCTTGCATTCATCAACCACACCATATTTGGCCCACTTTTCCATATTGCAAACTTCCTGAGACCCAAGCTTTTTTTCTGGTGTATATTTTTGCTTTCTCCAAGGTACATTGGATTAGTAGGATTTATTTTGCTATGGTACATTAATGGATTTTTTCCTTGAATGTGGAGAGCAGGTTTCTCTTTGCATTGAAAATTCCTACTTATCTATTCAAACATTTTCTTTGAAATTTAGGAGCAGAAAGTCCAAATTACTCTAAAAGCAAAATGTCCTTTTTCTCATCAGCAGTTCTCTAAAAAAAATCTATGTCTCCATATGAGGAAACTGGGCTTATCTTCTTTATCAAAACAAAAAAGACATATGTTAATAAATATAATATATACCAGAAACTAATGTTTGTTTCTGATATGAAGCCAAAGGTCAAAGTTGAAAAAATATTAGAGAGGGTAAAATGGAACAGGAGGGAATCTCCATCTCCAGCTAAATTAATTTATGGTAGATTTAGAGGCATCCCAATCCAAGATAGGATTTATCAAGCAAGTTCTACACCTGGGCCTTAATCCAGTGGGACATGCCCAGAAGATCTCCAAAAGGAGGCATCCTAATCAATTACCTCTCCAAGTTTACTCTGAATGGCCAAGCTTGTATCTCTAAGACTCAGCTAAGCCACTAAGGAGACACATTTCAGCCATTTTTATCTGTGATCTTGTCCTTTGTCACAATCAAGACCTTGTGGCCATAGGTGTGGGGTTGTAACAAATATGGAGTAAATTGCAATCTTTTCCATCTTAACACCGCAGTGGATCAGAACAACAGCTACATCACAGTGTTTGAAGGCCCAATTTGTCTGTATGTTTCTCATTTCAATGTGCCATTATCCATGAAGAAGATACGCAGACACTTAAACTTCTCTGCCTGAAGATGGGACTCATCCCTTATTCAGACAGAGCACTCCGCCTTTTTTGGTTAAGAACCATGACTTCAGATTTGAAATGGCACCAATTCACCCCAACTTTTCTGAAGTCTGACTTTACATTCAGAATCCCTCGGTGGGCACTGGGCAGAGTAATTAGCCTTAGTCAATGAAAACACATGTATATTGATGAGTCCCTCAATCCATGATCTTGGCAGTTTTTCCAACATCCTGAAGAGGCTGCTTAGTGTTGGATCCAATAGCTACCAAACCAGAATATGAAGCTGCAGAGAGGTGGAGTGATGGTTTCTGTGGCAAGAGGGGGATAGTAACTTTCCTCTCTTACATTGCCTATCAGTGGTGTTGATGCTACTTTTGGTCAAACAGTTGTTATGAGCAGGATAAACAGCTTTGGACAGTGACGCACACCTAGGGTAACCATGTGCTCACAGAAATCCCAGGTTGTTAATGTATAACTTCCATCTTCGACTGTCTGCTGCTGCTTTGTAAGGAACCTGAGTATCCACTTGTAGGTTTAAGTATGCACACTTAGCAGCTTGAGTTTCTCCACCAGCTGCTGTGGAATGATGTGTTGACATCTGAGTTATAATTGATGTACGTGACGGTCATAGTTTGTGTGACTGCATAAGATGAAACTTGATTTGACAGGAATAATGGTGAGCTGCAGCTTTGTAATGGTCAATAATGTTTGTATACACTAGGTCTTTCTAGTGTATTCACTCCCCTTGTTGCAATGTTCACAGGTTTTTATTAATCTAACTGAATGGTAGAAGGCAATGGAAATACATTTTGCCTCAAACTTTTCCAAAGGGGAAGAAGATACCACATGCAATGATAGAATTCATGTCCAAAATTTCATCCTAACCAATTTCAAATCTGATTCCATCCAGACTAATACCAGAAACGTCCAGTGAGTATCCATTCCTCAGCAGAAAAAAAGCCAAAGAAACCAAGAGCTTCAGGAAGACAAGTCTGAAAAATAGATTATCCATTGTGGATGTGTGGTGTGTCCTTCAAAGGCTGATGAAATTTGATCCTTTGCACCTACACAGAATTTTAAATGTGGTCATTCATTGCTATCTGTAGATTCAAAAGAAGGCAAATTATCTTACTAGCAATAGCACTAATAGTAAACTATAGTATATCCATAGTCTTACTGAGCTTAATCAATCACGAATTGTCCACTTCAGTATTGTAAATGTCATTCACCTGTGATTCCCCTCCATTATTTTCCTTGATTCTGTCTTGTTAAATGATAAGACACATGCACACACACACAGACACGCAAACCTCCTCCACCCTCTGTTTCATCAGGTTCTGCCTCTGCAACAGAGCAGAGACAGCAATCCTAGTGGTTGCCATAGCAACACTTCCCTTCTACATGCATGTGTGAGATGGGTTGGCAGGAATACATAAGTGAACGAAACCACAGTTTCATTTTGTAACCATGGGAATATACAATGAATGTTTTAATGCATACAACCATACAACTCGCATACTCAACAGTTAAGAAAATCAAGATTTTATAAAAGACACACAAAAGTATTTAGCGATAAAGAAGAAAACCATAAAATCGACATGTATGCCTTTGCCATGAATATTTGACAAACTTAAAAAACAGATGGATTCAGGGCAGAAATTAAAATCTACAAGGTGACAAAACATCAGATAACATATCATCTAATGGCTTTTATTCTTACCAGTCCTTCCAGTTTATTGATACTGTAAAGTCAAAAACAAACTCAAAATAAATCTTGAGTTCTTCTTTGACCATTCCACTAGCTCCCCAACCCTTTTAATTAATTCTGCTGCTTAGAGTTTTTGTGTGGTATCAGGAAGTCCATCCATCCATCCATTATCAATACTGCTTATTCCCTGATGGGGTCGCGGGGGGAACTGAAGCCTATCCCAGTGGTCAACGGGCGAGAGGCAGGGTACACCCTGGACAGTCCGCCAGTCCATCGCAGGTATCAGGAAGTGTCAATACAAATGACTTCTACAGCTGTGCAATATCAGCAAATTTGGGAAAACCCTAAATATACTGTCCAAGATAATTCTATATTCTCAGATAAAAAAAGTTTATACATTTTTAATTGTATCATAGTTAGGAGACATATTCTTTGTGGAGTTCTTTAAAGTGACCCCAGCCCATCCAGTACCAGTCAGTTTAATTCTAAATAGATGTCCCCACTGATAACTGTTCGGCATTGGGTGATTGCAGACAATATTATCACTGATAATAGCTTGTTAAAATATATGTACAGAAATTATAGAAATATTGTGGTGACAGTGATGCTATGTGCATTTGTAACATCCTACCTTCTTCCTCACTTGAATCTCTTTGTATATAAACAGGAGGTGCAGAGGCAGATGACCCCACTGCTCCAGTACTGCTCTTTGTGAAAATACCACTGATGAATTTGAGCATCTTTCTGTCTTTTGCAGAGCCTCGTTGAACCTGCTGGGCTTCTGTAGTCAACCCCAGGTCTTCAGAAAGGCAGTTCAGATCACTGTTATCCAATGTGCGGCTTTTATCTTTGCGTGTCGGTTTTGGGACTGGGGTAGTAGGTGCAGGTAAGGAGGCTGAACCTGTTTTCAGCCTTTCCTTCCTTGGGGTGTCTCTAATAACTGCAACCATGCCAACTCTGGTCTCCAGTGGCATTCCAGTTGGAGTCCCATCCCGTGTGTCCCTCCAATCTTTGTGCTGACCTGCCTCAGCCCAAGAAGCCCGGCAGGGGCCTGGTGAACGAGAGGTTACACGGCAGTCTTTGCGATCAAGGCTCTGTGCAAAAGTAGGGCTGAATTCCCGACCCTTCCTGGAGTCATGACCACGAGTGGATGTGCTGCTGTGAGACTTCACCTGATCCATAGAATGCTGTTGTTCTGGAGGAATTGGGATGCATGTCCTGGTTGGGGTACAACTGGACTCCACCACTTCTGTTTGTGGTGTTGTGGTTAGTGACGGAGAGCTACTGAGTTTTGCATCTGACATGTGAACTGTATTCTCGGTTATAACTGTAGATTTTGTCTTCTGAATGGTCATTCCCTCTGAACCAAAAGGCTTTGACAGTTTAGATTGCTGAGTTTCACTGTGTTTATCGCCATCATCAGTATTGCTAAGTGTGTTATCTCTCAGGGGGATCAGTTGTTCACCCTCCTCATCCTTGAGTTCATTATTTCTCATTTTCTCAACTGCAGTATCATGATCTCTTTGTGGTTCTTCTGGAACCTTTTCAGCATAATTTTTAGTGCAGGCATTCGCTCCATCTTCAGACTTCAGTGTCAACCTGTCCTCTTCCCTTGGCCTTACTCCTAGTCCACCCTCCACTTCCTTCCCCTGCGAGTTGTTCTTGACCTCCCCTACATTCTCCTCCACAGCCTCCACCTTCACCAAAGTGAGGGAAATGAGGTAGGTTGTACGTTGCTGCACGGCACTGCCTCCACTCATGTGGTCAGGTCTTTGTGCATACACAACAAATGAATGAAACCAGAATAAACATTAAAAGCTGACAGTTGGACTATATATTGGGGTGCAAATGCATCCAACAGCAAAATCGTGACAAACGATTTAGCAGGACGCATTAAGTTTCTCTTAGCAAAGGGGTTAATGGTTTCATCCACCCCCAAATCCCCATTTTTGATGATTTCAGTCACCGAAATTCTTTGTTAAATAATTCTAATTTTCTCTGAGACAGAAAGAAAAACCTAAATCCATTCTTCTTGACAATCATGAGCTCTTTCTCAATGCAGGCCAGGCTGTTCTTTGTTCAAATATGACAGAGTTAGACTCTATAACTGTATGCATGCAGCTACCGAGACATATAAAACTTCACCATCACGTTTGAGTGGTAGTTGTTTACTTGACCTTTTTCATGTGCTGCATTCCCATCTTACATGTTAGTCCATCCATCCTTGCCAATGCCAGAAAGGATTTTAATTCTGTCTCAAAATAACAGCTCCCATAAAAAATGACTGGATGAGCATCTAGTGTCAGGTGTATTCTTTAGGAATCCTTGGGTGTCAACCTCAAGCAGTATGGCACAGGTAATCCAGGACTGAATGCAAATTGTCCAAATCATGGACTGTCAAAAGAAACCTCACGTGTGTTTCGATGGCAGTATCCATTCAGAGTGTGCAGCGGATGGAAGACAGGCAGCCTCATTGAGAAGGGTTCAAGGGGATTATTAGACGAAGCCAGTAGTAATCTGGGTGGTGTTTGGAATATCTTGAATTAGTGAAGGTAGGTCCAGCCATCCTGCCACTCCCTCAGTCTCCAGGGTTACTTGTGTCCTTTGAGAGCATCTGGTATTGAAGATTACAAAAACGCTAGTGAAGATGAGGTGATGAGTTTAGTCGCATTTCCAACAGTTCCAAAAAATCCTGTGAAGCCCTCTGGAATACACACTGTCAGGCAGGTTTAAGGAATTTAAAGCATATCTTCTACACACCCTTACACACGCTCAGTTCGTTTATCTAGCACGATTTCTCTCTCTTACTCTCATAAGCACACCGACAGAAATCTCCAATATCTCCCCTTCAGCAAGCCCCTCCTTGATTCAATAAGCATTCAATGCAGAATGATGCTGCCTCTCTTCCTACCCTTCTCCTCCTTTATTTTTTCTCTCAGTGTTTCCCCTGCTGCTCTCCTCGGAATGTGCAGTGTCCCTCATTTTTATTGCCTATCCCCTCCCCACCATCTTTCTGCCTGTCTGCCAGAGAGGTGGGGGGAGGCAGCATGTAACTGCTGGTGGCAAAGCAGCAGTGAACATACGAGCTGGACTTGCTTTGTGAGAGGAGAGTGCAGAAAACAGATTGCAGTAACAGGAATAGCAAGCAACCAGGATTGGTGGGAATGACAAACAGCATGAATTTATATATTTTGGGAGAAAGTAGCAGCGTGGCCTTTACATGTGTCTGTCGTGTTTTATAGCTGCCAAACGATTGCATCAAGGCCATCAATCTTTTTTAGTTATTTATTTATGTTTATGTAAATAACTGCATATCCCTGTGTCTGTGGCTCTGTGTGGCTCCTCCTCTATTGGAGGCTTGGCTTGTTTGTTGCTAAGGTGTTACTATCTTCCTGGCTCTTGCAGCACAATGATCTTCTCTGTGTCCTTCTTTCTAGTCCTGCTGTGCCTTTTTTTATATTCTGGTTACTATACTTGCCATACCTAGTATCAAAACATGAATCATTGAATTAAAATTTATGAAAATAACCACCCTTTTTTACAATAAAATTATTTTTCTAAATCTCCATAATTGTGAGACAAATATATTTATCATTTTTCAACGCAGGCATTTAACAAAACAGTAGATATTTGAAGATGTCACTGATATAATTTTGTCCACCATGTAGAACACCTTTTTGTCTCTCTCTCTCTCTCTCTCTCTCTCTCTCTCTCTCTCTCTCTCTCT